GAGCGCAAGGCAGATATGACAACCGAGGACGGAAAATATTCAGCACGAGTGGGAGGAAAGAGGGACAGGAGGATTTGCAGGTAGGAAGGTCGGGCGGGCGGACCCCAACGGGCGGGTCCGGCGGGCGGGGCGGGCGGACCCTAGTGGGCAGATCGGGCGGGTGGGACACTAAAACCAGCGCGCGGGTTTCCAACCAAGCGAAGGGGCGGGCCCTAACGGGCGGGTCGGGCGGGCAAATCATGACGAGAAGGTCGGGCGGGTGGACCCAAACGGGCGGGTCGGGAGGGGCGGACTCTAAAGGGCGGGTCGGGAAGGCGGGAGCTAACAGGCGGGCGGGGCTTTGAAACGAATTTTGTAAATTGCGAGAATGTTGTTCATCCCCCCCCCTCCCAGTTCCCATTGTGAAATGCCCCCCCAGGGGCTCGCAACCTGTTCTTTTGAGACCGAAGGACTTGGGCCTCAGACTGTTCCCCAGGCTCCCGGTTTCCAGCAACGGCAGCTCCCGCCAGAAACTCTCCGACAAGTTACTGGGCCCCACTCTTTCCCCAGGCGCCAGGAGAGAAGCAGAGTGGTTGGGTCGCCTCGCCTTGCCCCTGGGGGAACTCCGTGGACCACGAGCGAAGCGGCAAAAGAGACCAGCTCAGGCATGGGACAATACCCAGAACTCCGACGGCAGTAGCCCCTGCAGCAGCACTGCCTGCAGCAGCACTGTCTGCAGCAGGTGTCGCCTGAGCAGGCGGCGACGGCGCGCTTGCTGGCGGGTTCAGGGCGGCGCGGGCGTTGCGGCGAAAAAGATCACGCCGGCAACCATCGGAAGTGATTACACATTCGGTGCCGATTCGTTGATTTTGGGGGCCGCAAAAGCGACCCCACTTTGGGGCGTCAGGCTACGCGTTGATCTTCAACACCATGCTATGCCATGTAATGCGACGCCCTGCTACGACATCCGACTGTGCGAATAGAGAGGAGATCTACGCCATGGGAAGGGATGGAGGCAGGGGTAGGACGTCAGATCTGATGCGAACGCACTTAGCTTGCCCCCCCCCGTCCCCCTCCACCACTCCCCTTCGCCGTCCCCTCCTCACCCGTCCCCCCCCTCCCCCATTCCCCCTCCCCCTCCCCCTCCCCCCCTCCCCCCCCTCGCCCCCCCCCCCCTCCTGGAGCAGCTCGTCCTTCAGGCGGATGGGAAGGCCTTCCAGGCTGGTGACGTGGGCCAGCCTCGCGGGAGAGCGGCGGGCCGCACCGGCAGGGCGCGGGAAGAGCCCGGCTCGGCGCTCTCCCTGCCACATTCCGCGCCCCCCCCCCCCCCGTCACCCCTCCGCTTCGCCGCCTCGCTGCCACGTCCTTGTCCCCCCCTCCTCCTCCCTCCTCCTCCTTCTCCTCCTCCTCCTCATCATCATCATCATCATCAACAACCGCAGCAGCATCAGCATCATCATTATCATCATTATCAGCATTATCATCATTATCAGCACCAGCATCATCATCAACATTATGATCATCATGATCGTCATGGTCATCATCATCATCATCATCATCATCAGCATCATCATCTCAAGTATTGTAACCGTCGTCCTCCTCTTGCTCCTCCTCATCACCATCAGCATCAATATCAGCAACATTATCCTCATCGCCCTTACCCCCCCCATCAGTACCAACACCAGCACCATCACCATCAGTCTGATCATCATCATCAGAACCAGCATCGGCACCATCATGATCATCAGCATTATCAATCATCATCATCATCATAATCATCATCACCATCATCATTAACAGCATCATAATCCTCATCATAATCCTCATCATATCCCTCCACAGTATCATCATCACCACCATCAACCTCATCTGCATCATCATCACCCTCATCATCCGCATCATCATCATCATCATCATCATCCTCATCATCATTCTAATCACCATCGTCCTCCTCCGCATCATCATCATCATCATCATCATGATAATCATCATCATCATCATCATCATCATCATCATCATCATCATCATCATCATCATCATTAACAGCATCATCGTCATCGTCATCATAAGCATCATCATCTAACCTGTCCGCCTCGTCCTCCTCCTCCATCGCCTTCTCCTTATCAGCATCAGCAGCAGCATCAGCATCAGCATCAGCACCAGCATCATCGTTACCTTCATCCTCATCCTCCTAACCATCATCATCATCATCATCATCATCATCACCAGCATCAGCATGATCATCATCATCATCAGCATCATCAGCATCGTCCCCACCAGCCTCCTCCTCCTCATCATCATCATCACTATCGTCGTCATCAGCATCATTCCCATCGGCGTCATCAACAGTATCATCACCATCATCAACATCATCATCATCTCATGTATCCTCCTCATCATGATCACGTCATCATCGTAATCAGTTTCCTTGCCCTCCTCCTCCTTCTCCTCCTCCTCCCCATCATCATCAGCAGCATCAGCATCTGCAGCAGCGTCATCATTATCCTCAGCAGCACCAGCATCAGCACCATCCTCATGATCGGCATCATCACCAACACCATCATCATCATCACCATCACCATCAGCATCAGCATCGACATCATCACCACCATCATCATCAGCATCATCAGCATCATAATGATCATGATCATCATCATCATGATCATCATCATCATCATCATCATCAGCAGCATCACCATCATCATCAGCATCATCATCACATGTTCATTGTCCTCCTTCTCCTCCTCCTCCTCTTCCCCCTCCTTCTCCTCCTCCCCCATTTCCCCTCATCCTCTTGCCCCTCCTCCTCCGCTCTCTCGTCATGTTCCACATCACCCTCTCTCCGTCATATCTGCTCTTTTCAGATCCACCTCCCGACCCAAGCTTCCCTTGCCGGCCTGCTGGCCACCGCTCCGCCCTCGCGGCTCCCCCCTCCTCCCCTCTCCCGCCTGAGCCGCCGCACATTCACCTTTCGGTTGTTGCGGACGAAGTGCCACACGCGGCTGGCGAGGTCGTGGTGGATGCTGTTCTCGCGGAAGTACCGCCGTATCCTGGTCTCCTGAGAAGGACGAGAGAGCCCACGAGAGTCTTCAGGCCGCTGAAGAGTCGGGAGCGACTGCAGCGAACACCCGACAGGACACAAGTCTCTTCAGAGGGCTACCCGGCGAACCCAGGCTCCAGACACGAATAAAACATCGAACGCGATGAGCACGACACAAGGGCATCCTTGACTTCCCAGGGTGGACCTACTAATCGAGCACGGTTGTGCTTCAAGAACCTCAAGCAAGCAACATGTAAACTATCCGCAGGCCCGGTTTGCGGAAGACCACCAGGCGAAGAAGATGATGCTTCATCAAATGGACGGCTTCGTCTTCATTTGTGCAACGAAGCAATTCGCAAAGTTCCAACATCCTGGAGGCTTAGGAAGCTGGCCTCCTCGATGTATGTTCGAGTCCTCAAAAGACGCTGCGACGAAACAAAACGAGTCTACTGTGAAAGGGTTCTGCCTCCACAACTCTGGTCGCCGCCGCATTGTGGGTCTGACCCTGCGCCCTCTTGAGCTTGCTACTCGTAGTCATGCGAGGCTTCGTCCAACCCGCGCTGCGCGGAGGCCAAGGCCCTGGGCCAAGGGGCATTAACTTCGACCTCGACGGCTGCACACCCGCCGCGCCTGCCGCAGCGGGCACCGAAACGGCAGTGGCTGAAGACAAGCACGTGGACCAGGCGAACGCTGCCGAAAAGGGGACAACTCCGCGCTGTCTCGAGCCAGAGCCGCTTCGGAAGAGAGAAGGAACAAGCAGGACCGACCAGCAAGCGCGCGGCAGCACAGGTGGACCACGAGCGTTACGGGCGGTGTCTCGGCGCACGGCGGGTCGGCCAAAACGCCCCAGCCCTCTCGCGGTGCCCTCCGCTCGTCTCCCACCCTTCCTCCACCTGCTCATGCTGCTGCTCCTTCTCCAGCTCTTGCTCGTCCACATCCCCACTCCCCTGCCACATCGATCGTCCCCCTTGTCCAGCCGCTCCGAGCCCCGGGACTCCTGCTCAGTGTTGGTCGCGTTGATGTTGCGGATGTGATTCATGGCGTTGGTGATGCTGGACCTAGGGATTCCTGCCCGTCGAGCCTGATCTATGAATCCCGTTGCGGCCAGCCCGATCCAACTCAACGCTTGCAGCACCCCGCTGACCGACAGGCAAATCGACCACTCCTGATCGTGCCACGATCGATGGATTGGGATATTCTAAGTGATGTGCACGAACGAGGAGAAGACGAGCAGAGCCAGCACCTGTCGCCCCCGCTCCATCCTTCAGAGGTGTCGTCTCTTTCTCTATCTCTTTCTCTCTTTCTCTCTGTCTCTCTCTCTCTCTCTCCCCCCATATCTCTCTCTGTCTCTCTCTATCCCCCTCTCTATAGCGATAGATGTATCGATCCCGTCTGTCTCTCTCTCCTCCTCCTTCGTCTCCTTCGCTGCGGTCTGTTCCACTACATACCTCATCCGACTGCAAAGACTGGGCAACATGACACAACACTCTTGGATCAAATCGACGGCACGCTTTCCGTATCCGCATCACGAGCGGGCACCCGATAACGTCACACGCCTTGACTACAGCAAACTACAGGCGACTCATAGAAGATACGCTGATGAAACACCATGCCCGCTTTCATCCAGCCAAACACACTTCTAAAACATACACGTGTCATTCTCCCGGCCAGTGCTCCAGAAAGAACGTGAAACGAAAGGACGGCATGATCACCCATGACGCAATCGGCGGCGAGCGAGGGGGGAAGCGAGAAGGAGAAGGCCTTCTCAGAAGGCTCTGAAGTCCCGCGGCCTTCTGAGAATTTTGTTCTACGCCTTCCCCGACATCATAGAACAACAACTTCTCAGAAGGCGCGAGGGCTTCTGAGAAATCCCGCCGTATTCTGAGAAGGCCTTCTCCTTATCTGTTCCCCCCCCCCCTCGCCACCGACAGAAAAAGTGGAACGAAAAGACAGCACGATCACCCATCACGTCACACATGCAACGGTAGAAGATCGCCGAAGTGTGCAGTGACCTGATCCCTGGAGAACGACCTCACACGAGAGCAGCACGGTACCACACGGCACCACGAGCGCCCACGCGGCACGGCTCGGCACCGCGTGCAACTGGCTGGGCGCGGCGACACACGGCCACACACGGCGTCACATGGCACCATAGGGCACAGTGGGCGGTGAATGTGGGTGCTATGTACCCCGCAACCGGCTACAACGGGGCCCTAACACCAGCTTTGACAGCAGCATCTTCTCTTCGTGAACAGGAGGCGCCAAGGACAGCGCGATCCCACCAATCCTTGCGTGAGGTCCATGACAAGACCTAGAGAGCGAGATGGAAAAAGAGAGCGACAGAGAGAGAGAGAGAGGAACAAAGACGAAGATGCACAGAGACAAACAGGCAGAGAGGAGGGAGAGGGCGAGAACTGTACCCATGGGGTGGGCCCGCCGATAGATCCGTCGAACAAAACACATATGGTTGAATGTGTGTATGAATGTATGCACGTGCATCTATGTGGGGAGGGGGATCGAGACAGAGAGAGAGAGAGAGAGAGAGCGAGATTGACGAGCGTCGCGGATCCAGACACCCTGCTCCTAGTCCTCATTATCCTCCTCTCCTTTCCGCCTGCGGTTCACCAGAAGAGAAGTGGGACCACGTGCTGTCAAACTCCTACTCCTTCTGCTCGCCTTCCTCCACCTCCGCCTCCGCCTCCTCCTCCGCTCCTCGCCCGTCCTCCGCCTCCGCCTCATTCGCAAGGGCCGCGAAGACATCATTGCGTGGTTCACTCCTTTGCATGCTGACCTGGAGCTTCATTTCGACGGCTGCCCGCCTCGCGTTTCCACTGCATGTTCCTGCGCTGCCCTGACGACTGCAGCTCGTCGGGGCATCGTTTCTGCATGGGCGGTGGCGGGTGGGCAGACGCGGCGCTTCTTGAGCTCAAAAGACAGCTGCAACCGTTCGAGCACCGCCGCCTGCCTTCCGGCAACGCGATGCTCACAACCCCATGCTGAAGAAACGCTGGAGCCCCTCTGATCTGATGCGGGCAAAAAACGTGTCCATATCCACTGCAGTTTGGAGTTTCGGGCTTCCTCCCACGGAAACTCGACGCGCACTGGATATGGAGAAGAATTCTGCCCCTGGGGGTTCGAGCCGTATCCATCTCCAGTGCGCCTCGGCCTTTTGGCGCCCCATCCCAACAATTCCAAGACGCACTGGATAAACACAGTGCCCGCATCTGATATCACCATCTACTCCATTACCAGAAGCATGACGACCACGACGCTGCAGGTACGCTCGCGTGTGCTACAAGCCAGCAATTTCGCCCCGAGGCACGGTGCCCCCGATGTTGTACAATTACTCGTGCGAGCCGGATCTACGACGCTGTGTCTTTTCACATCGTGGACCCCCAGGGGCCACTTCTTCCCCAGGACCGGTGCTTCTTCCCGATTTCTTCTGATGTTTACGTTTACCAGAACTGGTGAGGACCCCGGGAGGCCGAGAACTAACGAACACCTACCATCATGTTGTTCTCGCAATGCAGAAAATGTGGGGACTCATGCGAGTTCCTTACCTATGGCTTTCTTCACGCGCCCCCTGCTAGGCACGATGATTCCGACGTTGAAGAATCGCTCGGCCACGTTCCGCGGGAAAATCTCCATCGAGGCAGGCGTGAACTGCGTCAGGCTCCAGTGCAGGGACGTTGAGTAGGACAGCCAGAGGTCCTGGCGGAGCTCGGCGCGGGTGGAGCCAGCGACAGCCAGCAGGGTGGGGCGGGGGGGTGGGCGGGAGGGCGCGGAAGTGGAGGCGGAGGATGATCCCGCAACGGCACGGCTGGGGGGGGCCAAGACGGCCCAGGTGGGCCCAATGAGCTCGAAAGGAAGCTCCCCCCGAGACGGCCTCAAGAGGGCGTCAGGACGGCCCCAACGGACGGCCCGACAGAGGCCCAAGAGCAAGAGGGCCCCAACACTGCCCGAGAGGGCCTCACGGCAGCCCGGGGCTCGGAGCTCGGCGCGCGAGGAGCCGCCCACAGCCAGCGGGTCTGGGTCTGGGGGGCTGCATCGTCTAGCGGCTCGGCTCGCCTCGGCCTCACGCCGCTGGTGCGCGACCCCGCCCAGTCGAGGCGGCAAGCTCCCGGGCTCTCCTCCGCCTCTTGGGTCGCCTCAGATGCCGCACATCGACCTGCGCACCACAGCTACTCCTCGCCGTTCTTCTTTTTCTTCGTCGTCTTCCTCGACGTATTCTTCTTGCGTCGTTCTCCCGCTCCTCCGCCATCCTTTGTCCCGATAGACAACCCCTCCCTGTCGCGCACCCCCAGACGTGTGGGCCACTGATGAGCCTGAAGCTTGAACTTCACAGCAGCTTCAAGGATAAAGGCCGGGTGGTTTTCTGAATGCGGCTATCGCCTGAGCGCTGCGCATATTCGTCTTTAAAATTTGAGGCAATTTCGAAGATAGAGGGTGGTAGTGTTCTTCCGCCTCGGCGCCGCGCACATTCGTTTCAAAGTTTGCTGCAGCTTCAAGGATGTAAGGCGGGTAGTTTTCAAAATGTGGCTCTTGCCTAGGCGCCGCGCCAAAGTTTCGGCAGTTTCACAGGTCCGTATGGTGGAAGTGGCAGGAATGGCGTCCTGGCAAGATGCAGGAATGTCAGGACGCAAGAGCCAAATGTATTCGCGGGGTTGGAATTCCAGGAATGATGTTCTGGGACGGTTTAGGGTCGTCAGGGTGCATGAGTCACGTGGATCCACGGCGCTGAAGTCCGAGGACGTGTGGCTTGGCACAATTCAGCATTCTGAGACGGTTGTCTTGTCATGGGCCACTTCCCACGATGAAAATACATTATTGTAGCGACCTGTGAAGCAGGGACCTTGGAGGGAGGGGTTCTTTGCAACATCGTTGGTGCATCTTGGATTTCCACTGGTCCACCTCTTCCAGCTCCTGCTCCTCCTCCTCTTCCTCCTCCTCCTGCTCCTCCTCCTCCTCCTCCCCTTCCCCCTCCCCCTCCCACTCTTCCTCCTCCTCCTCCTCCTCCTCCTCCTGCTCCTCCTCCTCCTCCTCCTCCTCCTCCTCCTCCTCCTCCTCCTCGTCGCACCAGCAGGCACGCCAGAGCGCGGTAGGGGGCTGGATCGAGAGCGGCGGAGTGGGATCCAGTGCACTGGGACGGCGGCATCCCTGCACAGCTCTGCGCTGTCACTGCCCCTGCCAGTCGCATTTCCTCCGCTGAGGTGCGCTCACCGCGCTCTCCACCCTCCCCCCCTCTCCCCCCCCCACGCCCCCTTCTCCCCCTTCCACCCTCCATCCCTCTTCAACGCGCCCCTTTCCCCCTCGCTTCCCCTCCCCAGTCCCTCCCAGGGTCCCCCGCTCCCTCTTCTTCATCCTCCTCGTCTTCCCACCCACCTCTCCTCTCCTCCTCATCCTTCCCCTCCTCGCCCAACTATTTTGTCCAACTCATCCGCCTCCTCCTCCTCCTCCACCTCCACCTTCTCCTCCTCCTCCTCCTTTTCCTCCTCCTCCTCCTCCTCGTAATCCTCATCATACTCCCTGTCCTCCAATCCTCCTCCTCCTCCTTCGCCACTTCTTCTGACGCATGTCCCGCGCTCGTGCGCAGGTTTGTGACAATCCCCGTCCCCCTCGTCGACGTCGTTTCTGACGTCGTCGCCGTCGTCAAGATTTGCGTAAAGGGAGCGAACGAGCAGCACACGCGCTCACACTAGTTGAGACAGCGGCGGCTCTCCCGCCTGGCCAAGATCCGATCAAAGTCTGTCTTTGGAGCTCTCCAGGGGCCTATCCTGACTTGCTTTTCAAGGCGGATCCAGCACTGGCGACGAGAGGCCTCCAGGTCCAAAAACGACGAAAAACGCAAGGGAGTGCCGCCCCTGTCTCGACTGCCCCTCCTCCCGGATCAGGCGCTCCATGGACCCCCCCCCCCCCTTCGGCGCGCGGTCGTCGCCGATGCCCCTCTCGGCAAGGTAGAACTCGATCCAGCTGCCATTGCGCATCCGCACGCTAACGGTCGACAGGCCGTACCTGGCTTGGGGGGGGGGAGGGAAGCACAGGGGAGGCCATGTCGGTAAGGTGGGGGGGGGGGGCGGGGGACGTTCGAGGTTTTCTGAATTCGATGTTCGAGGTGTTCGAACGTTTCCGTCCGCTCCCGTCGGTTTTCCACCCTCGGGGCGCGCTCCTATAGCTGCGCCTCGCCGAGAGCGTTCTGGGGGGTCACGGGAGATCGTCCCGGACGTGCGCTGGATATCCGAGTGAGGACCCGAACGCTGGATGGGCGGTGGACGCTGGAGAAGTTGGGATGTGCGGCCGCATAGCTCGACACCTGGATGTGCGCGAGCAGCGAATCATGCGGGCGATGCGAATGGCCGGGGTCGGGCGTCTTCTTGCGCCACGGGGACACCTGGAGGTCTACAGACCACTTCCCCAGGACCTGCATTCCATCCCGAGCCGAGTTTGTCACCACAGTCGCGGGGCCAGGTGAGGCCCCCAGAGGCCGATGCACCCCCAGACCCCCGACGCCCTGATTGTTTCGAGGCGCGGTCTCCGACCTCTCGACCGCTTCCGCGGGACCGGCTCTTCAGCCCGAGCCGTGCTTTGACGGCCCCGAGGCCCGGTGAGGGTCCTCGGGAGACCGAAAAATACGAAAGGCCACCGCCCCGACTTTCTGTCCGAGACTTCCGGTGTCTGGGTCCCTTCCTCCGTTCGTGACAGGGGATGTGTCGACCCCTATCCCAGGCCACGTGGGGTTTCCCAATGGACCAGGAACTCGAGGCCCAACCCTGGGATACACGATGGGGGACGTCCATCCTCGATAGAGGTGCGTCCGAATACCCCCCTTGGGGTGCATCCCAGGGCAGATTTGTCGGGCGGCCATTTTTTTTGCTGAGCGGCCAGAGCTGTTTTTGTTCCCCATTTTTTCCTGATCGGCCAGACTCTGCGGGAGGTGCTGGAGGACTGGGGGAGAAGCATCGCCTGCGACTTCGGACCGCGGCCCCGACGCCTTCTGACCTGAAGCTGGTGCTGCCCCCCCCCTGATGGTTCGTATCCTTGACCATTCTGTCGAAACGGCTCAGCAGCCTGCATGGAGCCCACAGTGGGCCGATCGGCGCAGTTGTGCCAACGTCTTGAGGCTCTCGTCGAGCTCTGGCTGATGAATGGGCCTCGACCCTTTAGGGGGCGAAGAGAACGTCAAAATGGTAAGGGAGGAGTCTGCTTACCCCCCCCCGAGACACCACCACCAAGGGAGTCGCCACCCCTCCCTCGTCGTGAAGCTCTCGTCGAGCTCTGGCTGATGGAATGGGCCTCGACCCTTTGGGGGGCGACGAAAACGTCAAACTGGTAAGGGAGGAGTCTACAATTACACACCATCCCCACCCCTGATGGCGTGCGGAAGATAGCGGGTACCCCTCCGCGTACTGTTATTTTACGCACAAGATTTCCCGGAGTTGGGTTTTCGCTTGTTTTTTTCAAAATGATGCTCCCGCTGCAGCGCTGGCCTCATTTCCGTGCTTCCGCTCGTTCCGAATCGTGCTCCCGCTGCAGCGCTGGCCTCATTTCCGCGCTTCCGCTCGTTCCGAATCGTGCTCCCGCTGCAGCGCTGGCGTCATTTCCCGTGCCATGCCACGGCATGCAATGCAATGCTCGGTTGCGTTCCGCTGCGCGATGCCATGCCTTCAGCTGCAGCTGTCATGTCCAGTGCTTAAGTGCCACGTCATGCTATGCCATGCTACGCTTTGATCTTCAACGCCATGCTATGCAATGTTCTGTTCGGGGCCGCTGTGCAATGCCATGCTTTGCGTTGCAAAGCTTTGTGATGCAATTCTTCACTACGCCTAGCCACGTCATGCTGTGACATACTAAGCCTTGCGGTTCTCTTCTACGCCATGCCATGCCGTGCTCGACATCCGACTGTGCGAGTAGAGAGGGGTTCTACGCCATGGTAAGGGATGGGAGGGAGGGGTAGGATGTCAGATATGACGCGAGCGCACCTAGCTTGGCTTACCCCCTCCCCCACCCCCAGCCACCACCACCAAGGAGGGAGTCGCTACCCCTACAGCCAAGGAGGGAGTCGCCCCTAAGACAAATAATACATAGTCAAAAAATACTCACCAAAAGTCGAAAGATCGTCACCATATTATTTTTTGATTTTTTCTGAATGTTCCTCCTGTAAAGGGACATGCCCGACTTAAGCCGAAGGCTCTGAAAAGCCTCCGCCTCGATGTTTGTCCGAGGTGCTGGACGTCTGGGGCCCCGGAGGGGCGAGCCCACAGGTGACGTGTACGCGCCCGACCAAGTGCACGGACACGACCCCCCCCAGTCCGCCGGACTAGCCAACGTGGCGTCGTGTTCGTGCGCGTCCCTCTTTCCAGAGGCCTCCTAGATGGGGTCCGAGTAGATGGTGTCGGAGGATCGCGCCGCATCGCCAATGCATCGGCGATGCATCGGCTATGTATCGCCGACGTCGGCGATGCATCGGCGACGTCGACGTGAAACAAATCGGGTTCCGCGTCGAGCCGCATCGCCGATGCATCGGCGATGCGGCGCAAACCTCCAACCCCATCTACTCCGACCCCAGATAGGAGGCCTTGAATAATTCCACCGAAACCAACGTGGATTCATGTCGTTCGCGTCCTCCTTTCGCTCCTGATGTAGGGGCGCCACCCTGGCCCGGGGCCGGATGCGGGGGCAACCAATTTTTGGGGGCGACAATGCCTTTTTCCAGTCCCTGGAGGCCCCCTCTTGGGCCCTAAAGCCGAAAAGGGCCCCTTCAGCAGGGGCTCTCAAGGGCCCCTTCTTCTGCAGCCCCCGCTGCTCCCCCATTCATCGCACCCCCGTTGCGCGTCCTCCGGCTGCCGCGCGGCGGGAGGGGCCGCCAGAGGGGGCGGCCGCGTCACCAGAAGCAAGCAATGTCCGCAGCGCCCGCACCAAGGCGTGGCGGCGTGGCGCGCGGGGTCTCTGGGCGGCCTCCTCCTCCTGCTCCTGCGCATGCTCCTGCTCCGTCCCTCCTCCCGCATCTGCCCAGGGCCCGTCCTCCTCCTCCTCCCTCCTCCCTCCTCCCTCCTCCCTCCTCCTCCTCCTCCTCCTCCTCCTCTTTTTCTTTTTCTGATTATTCGTTTTTTTTTGTTTTTTTTTTTTCTTATTCATGTTCTTCTTAACATTATTATAACTATCATTTTTCTTATTATTCTTAGTATTGTTTTTATTCCTCCTCCTCCTCCTCCTCCTCCTCCTCCTCCCTCTCCTCCTCCTCCTCCTCCTCCTCCTCCTCCTCCTCCTCCTCCTCCTCCCCGTCCTCCGTCCTCCTCCGTCCCGCCTCCGTCCCTCCTCCTCCCCCTCCTCCCTCCTTTAATCCATCCCTGATAAAACAAGCTCCGTTCCGCGCCCACAAACGTGTTGGTAGGGCGTGCCGAGCGTTTCGCCCGAGACTCCCTCACCACTTCTAGCCCTGAAGCTTGAACGTAACAGTAATTACATGGATGAAGCGTTTTTTAACGTGGCTCTCGCCTTTGCTCCGCGCGCATCCGTCGTGAAAGTGTGCAGCCTTTCCATGGGCGGGGAGGCAGCTTCTCTTCAACATGTGGCTCTCGCCTTAGCGCCTCGCGCATTCGTGGTAAAGTCTGCAGCTGTTTCAATGATGAAAGGATTGCTTCTGTTCAAAATGTGGCTCTCACCCTAGCGCCGCGTAAAGTGAAACCAAACGTGCGTCAGGGAGCGATGAAAGAGCGAGGCTCTCTCCTTAGCGCCGCGACAATCCGTCTCAAAACGTTAAGAATAGCTTCACGGATGGAGTGAAACTACCTTTCAAAGCGGGGTTCTCGCATTGCGCCGACAACAGTAGCTTGCACAGGTGGCAGCAGCTTCATCGATTGAGCTCGGTGGTTCTCAAAATGGGGGCCCCAACCTCAGCGTCGCGCTCACTCTCTTTTTGTGGCAAAATTAAATGCTTCGCATGATTGAGGGCTACTTCTCTTCAAAGTGGAACTCTCGCGGAAGACTTTGCAAGCTTTGAAGATCCAGAACTTCCCCGCACGTAGCGCTGCACGGATCACTGGAGGCTCTTTTTCAAAACAGCGCTGTCGCTTGAGAACTTCTCGAAGATCATGGCCACAAGTGAAACGTGTGCAGCAGTCGCACGGATGGGAGGGGGTCGGTCCTTCTTCGAAATGGATAATATCGCGTGGCACCTCATTGATTGCCTCTTGCTCTCCTGATTACGCGCAAGTGAATGTTCTTGAATGTTCGATGCGGTGCCCTCGCCAAATTAGCAGGCCCAACTGTGTGGGTCTTTCAAAGGAGGTGCATCTTGCAGTGAAAAGGCAGACATGTAGGAGCGCATGAGGAGGGGACTCGGGAAGTGAGGGTGTACTGCAACATCGTTTATGCATCTTTGACTTACTCTGGTCCCTCCTCCCCCTCATCCCTCAGCCCCCGCACTGCACCATGCGTAAACCTTTCCAAATCCCACGTCTTGCTCTTCCCACCCCTTCCTGCGACGACTGCGGTGGGGCTCCGTGCGCAGATTCTCTTGTTTGCACAGGCCCGGAGGGCCTGCCCCTCTTCCTCCTTCCCCCACCCCTCGCGGCGACGACTGCGCTGAGGTGAAGGGAAGGGGGTGATGGGGAGACCGGTCTGACGTCGACACGCAAGAAGGGCCAGACACAGCTTCTCGCGCGGGGGCAACACAAGCTGCCCCCCTGGCCGAGCTCTTCCTTCTCTTCCTCCTCCTCCTCCTCCTCCTGCTCCTCCTCCTCCTCCTCCTCATCTTCCTCCTCCTCCTCCGTCTCCTCCTCCCGCCTCCCGCCTCCCGCCTCGGGGGTCGACGGGGTGGCGGCGGCCGTGCTGGATAGTGGTTGATCAGTACGATGGTGACCAAATGCTTCATCAGCATGACCCCCGTGAGCATGTACTCGGAATGGATCGTCTCGGGCCGGGGCGGCAAGGCTTGGGAGGAGGAGGAGGAGGAGGAGGAGGAGGAGGAGGAAGAGGAGGGCCAGTCGAGGCCACGGCGTCCCCCCCCCCTCGCGATGTTTCCCATCTTGTCGGGCCTCCTGGGAGCTTCTCGTCGCCACGGCTGGATCCGCCTCGAATAGCGGGTCAAGATGGACGCTGGGAGGGGGTAGCAGGAGGAGGAGGAGGAGGAGGAGGAGGAGGAGGAGGAGGAGGAGGAGGGGGTCTGGGTCGGGACGGCAAGTCTGGGGAACGACTGGCCACAACTGGGGAAGCTATGTTCCTTACCCCCCTGGGATAGCCCATGTTGTCGGCGACCTTTAGAGAGGGGTGTCGAAACCGATGAGCCCCCCCGGGGGAGTTCAGGAACACAGCTCCCCAAGTTGCGGCTGGCCTGGGTGAGGAGAGGGGGCTGCGCAAAAAGATGAGACGTCGAAGGACGCTGTGTCAGAGACGATCTTGCTTCGTACGCATGCTGAAACACAGCTGCATTTTCAGAGATCCTCGCGGTGCCCACTATACTCCCAAGAAGGCGGGCGCATGATGCGGCAACACGCAGCGCCGATCGTGCCAACGAGGGGTAGGATTGTGCATCCTTCTGCTGGATCATGACCAGTGAGTGTCACCGTCCACCCAGTCCACCCGCTGCGCAGGAGCAGGACTACGAGCAGGACGCGCGGGGATGCAAGGTGCAGGGCAGAACGCCTCCAGCAGCTCCGACACGTTCTTGTTCATCTTCATGAAGCGGAACAGCCGGCAGACGCGCAGGATCTTGGCGGTCACCTTGGGGAGGCGCCAGGCGCTCACCGACAACGAGTCTGGGCGGGCTCATCATGAGCGCAAGATTTGTGCACGGCCCCCCCTGTGCGCCGAGCTTGGGGCGACTGCACACCAATCCTGCTATCCTGGCGAGCCCACGAAGGCCGTACGCGCCCATCTACGTACACACGGCCCCACAATCCGCGAGACCAGCTTCGCGAGACCAACGTTCGCGCACTGCGCCCTTGCGAAACCAGCGCGGATTCATGTACGCGTACGTCCTTCGTGCGCTCCGGCTCTCCTGGGCTCAGGATGGGCCCAGCGAAGCTCGTGAGCGTTATCTTATTCGGCGTTTCGACATTGGGCTGAAGGGGGGGAGGGGTCTGGCTCCAGACCTCTGCTCAACGCGAATGTTTGCAACAGTGCGTCCTATGGGGAGATTCCACCTGCTCGAAACATGCGCCGAAAACAGACAAGATCTACTGCATAGGGGGGGGGGTGAAGCGGGGGTGCGAGGGCCCGCGCCGATCAGCAAAACGATGGATAAGAAAACGATCACCTCGGGGCCGGTCTGCATTTTCGGTGTCCCCCGTCGCCTTCCCGACAGCCTGGACAGACGACATGTACCTCGCGAGAGGGGGGCCGCGAGGGAGCGCTGGCCGCGCCCGCCCGCTGCCTGGCCTGGCTCGTCCCACTGGCCCGTCGCGCTCGCCTGCCTGTGCCGAGAAGCGGGTTCTCTTCATCCGCTCCCTCCGTCTGCCTCCTCCTTCCTGCTTGTTCCTCCTGCCTTCACCTCCACCTAGTTCCTCTCTCTCCTCTTTCCCCCTCTCGTTCCCCTGCTGGCCTGTCTCCTCCACCTACCAAATTCCTGCCTTCCTCCATCGCCTCCCTGTCGACCTGCCTCTCCCCCTCACTCACCAATCTCCTTCCGTCTGTGGCCATGCCCCCAAATGCGATGTGCCGATGTGTTTCAATACCTGGGAGGCCAGTCCACAAGAAACCTTCCACAAGAAACCCAACCCTGAGACCTCAGGACGTCCATTGACTCGAAGTGTGGGAACGTACTCGCTTCCATACCAAAGCCATCGAACACACAAGAAACCAAGGGCACCCTGGAGGCATGCAGGGTGTTCCTTGGCATGGGTCTCCACTGTACGCAGGAATCCCGACACTTTCCCCAGGGCCTGTTTGTCGTGTCGCGAGTCGGTCTTTGATGGTCCTGGGGTCCGGCGAAGGGCCCCCGGATGCCAAAGATGACCGAACACTACCGGCCGTGATCAGTCAACGACACGGGCATGTCAGCGATGCCCCTTCTCCCTGTCCCTCTCTCCGCCGCTCCCCTCCCCTCCCCCCGCGGGCCCGCGAGCACAGATTCCTCCAAGGATCGACCACAAGGATGTGTCACACGAAATGGCGATTACAACAATCAGCGAAACGAGGCCCAACGTATAATTACACAGAACGTGTTCAGCGAAGCCGTTGCCGAACGAAAGCGAAAGACGAAGCGCGGCGTTCAGAGCAGCACCGAAGAACGGCTCGAAACAGCAACGGAAACCGAAACGACAAACAAAACAAGGGACAAGACCAAGGTAAACAGCGTTGTGTTCGGTCCTTGGATTCTCTGATCCGACCTGGCCCGCACCCCCGTGCTTTGAGCAGGGACCGACCGTCCCGGCATTCCTATGGGCCTACCACGAAGTGTTCTTAGAATCCAAAAATGTTCTCAGAACGAAAACAATGTTCTTAGAACATATCAGCCCGATGTGATACAACAAGGCAGTCCCAGCCAGGAATGCCCTCAGAGCATCTCGTGGACACCACGAATTGTGTTCAAATCATCGCTTGGTAGGCCCACAGGCGAGCCGGGACGCTTCGCCGCTGCTCGAGTGCTCGCACACACCGCGGAGGGCTTCGTGGTGCTGCGCCGGCCGAGACCCCCGGGCTCCGCAAGTCGTGGGCGCAGCAAGAGCACCGGGAGTCCCGATCCGGAGGCCTCCCGATCACTCGGACGCAGTGTGCAATCGGAAGGGAGGCGGAATGGAGGCGCAACGGGACAGTGGGGGATCCCACGCGACTCCGAGGACGACGACGACGAGGACACGAGCATGAGCATCATGGAAGCAACCTGGATCCGCGGACCTGGACCGGATGAGCACGGCCGGGGGCTCTGGCTCAGCGTGTCGCCGCGGCGGCCCCTGCAATTCAACACGCCGGTGCCCTGCAAGCTGCTCGCGTGTCGCTGGCTTCGGTGGGGCGGCTGGCTATTTGTTTAGAGTGCCGCCCCGAGGCGTGGCAGGCCAGGACTGGCGGCGCAGCGGGCCAATCAAAGAACAGCCTCCCTCGGCCAGGTCTCCCCCGAAGGACATCAGAGTAGAGCTGGGCGGATGCTGAACGATGCTCGGACGCGGACAGATACGCGGCGGTCGACTGAGGTCAACGGTAGGCGGCGAGCCCGGGAGGGAAGTGAGGAAGAAACGACCTTCTCAGAAGGCTGTGAAATCCCCCGGCCTTCTGAGAAGTTTTCTGGGCCTTCCCCGAAGGCAGAAAACAACTTCTCAGGTGGCGCGATGGCTTCTGAGAAGTCACGCCGCCTTTTGAGAAGGCCTTATCATTCTCATTTCCCCCCTGGCTCGCCGCCGGAACCACCCACCGTCGTGCGCATCCTTTACGTGCGCATGCACCTCGAACCAGATGCCTGCTATTCTTGCGTTGCCTGGTCGCCGTGCGAGGTGGCCCACCCAATTGCCGCAACGGTGCAGACCACGGGCCCGTTTGCTATCAGCTCTTTTGCAAGTGTGTGAGAACGGTCACGTTCTGCAGCCTGGCTCAAGGGGGCCCCCTCCTCGGGGTCTCCCGCACTCAATGGGGCGTCCGACGCAAACGGGCCCCGACCCAGCACATGGTGTCGTTCCGATGTCCCAGAACTGCGACATTGTGCTTTCCCAAACCATCCTGTGGTGTTGGGTCCTTGTTTGGAAGAGACTGCACCCCTCGCTCCTTCCTTCCCGAAGCACCTCCTCCCCCTCCACCCTCCTCCCATCTCTGCATCTGCCCTCCGCGCCAGTCAACCATTCCGGCACACCCCTCACACGCTTTGTGGCCTCATAAGAAGATTCACCGAACGCTCAAATGGCTGCACTCGCATGCGCCCGCCGCACCGGTTCCGGCACAACCCATACACGTTTCGTGGCCCGAACAAGAACTCCACCGAAGGCCCCAAAACTGCCTTCGCATGCGTCCACCACGCCCATTCCGGCACACCCCTCAAACGTTTCGTGGCCCCACAGGGCGCTCCAACGAACACCCCAAATGCTGCGTTCGCATGCGCCGACCGCACCCATTGCGGTAAATCCCTCACACGTTTCGCTGCCCCACAGGCAGCTCCACAGAAGGCACTTGTGGCGGTGTTCGCATGCGCCCGACCCACCCATGTCCGCACACCCCTCACACACACACACACATCGTGGTCCCATAGGGAGCTCCATCGACGGCCCCAGTGGCGGTGTTCGCACGCAGCCGCCACGCCCATACCAATTCACCCCTCACACGTCTCGTGGCCCCACACGACGCAACCGAAGGCTCCAAAGATGTTGTTCGCATGCGCTCGCGCCGCCCATGTCGGTACGTCCCTCATCCGCTTCGCGGCCCCGTGGGGAGCTACACCGAAGGCCCCAATGGCGGAGTTTGCAGGCGTCATCCCCAACCATGTCGGCATACCCCTTACACGTTTCGTGGCCCCATACGGAGAACTCCAGCGAAGACCCCAATGGTTGCGTTCGCATGCGCTCACCGCGCCGATTTCGTTACACTCCCGACGCGCTTCATGGCCCCAAAGGGGGCTTCACTGAACACGATACTCACAACTGCGTTACTCACCGCTGCACATGGTTAGGTCTTTCGCCAAGCTAATTCTTAATCGTAGCCTCGAGAGTTGGACCCCTTCCCCGGGACCGGCCTCACCCCAAGTCGTTACTTGACGGTCCTGGAGCCTTGTGAAGGGCCTCCTGAGGCCGAACATGATAGGAAACAAACTCTGGTCGTGATGCTTCCTTCGACCACGACAGAACACTGGGGAGATCGATGCCGTCGCTGACCTCGGTCGGAGGGATGCCCGGGGCGCGCGCGAACGCGCCAAGAAAGCCCTGAGGTCGCACCGCGCAACCGCTCCATCCGCCCATGCGGAGGGCGCGCTTACCCGGGAGGCTTGCGAGGCAGGCCTGGGTCATCGGCCATCGACGCCCCTCCCCCGCTTCTCGAGCGTCCTCGACCCTCGATCCTCCTCGATCCTAGATCCTCGATCTGCGTCGATCCTCGTCGCCCCTCGATCCTCCTCCATCCCCGTAGACCCTCAATCCTCCTCGATCCTAGATCCTCCTCGACCCGCCTGGGTCCTCCTCTCTCTCTCTCTCTCCCTTTGTCTCTCTGTTCCTCTCCCTGTCCCTCTCTCTCTCTCTCTTTCTCTCCCTCTCCCTCTCTCTATCCTTCTTTCTCTCTCTCTCTCTCCCTCTCCCTCCCTCTCTCTCTCTCGCGTTCTCTCTCACTACCTCTCTCTCTCTCTCTCCCTCTCTCTCTCTCTTTCTCCGTCTCTTCTGTGACGCAGCAGCGGGCGCAGCGCGGGCGCGAAGCAACGCTCGGGGCCACATCCACAATACCCACTAGGGGTGGAGTGGGGCGCAGGAAAGATCTATTCGTAGCACCCCGCAGTTGAGGATAAGAGTGCCGGGGCGGCAGACAGCAGGGCCACGAAGGGCACGAAGTAGACCACGAAGGGCGACAGCGGGGACACGAAGGGAATGCGCATGGTGCCACGAAGAGCGCGAACGAGCGGGGGCCACGAAAGGCAGATAATCCGGGGCCACAGAAGGCAACGACGAGGCCACTGAGGGTAGCAACCATAGAACAGCGAGGGGGCCAGAAAGGGCGACAGCGGGGCCACGCATGGCACGCACATGGGGCCACGTCGGGCGCGAACGAGCGGGGGCCACGAAGGGCATACGTATATTGGGCCGCGGAGGGCAAGGACGGCGCCACTAACGGCTGCAACGGGGCCACGAAAGGCAGCGAGGGGGCCACGAAGTGCGACAGCGGGGCCACGAAGGACATCCATGTGGGGCTACGACGGGCGCGAACAAGCGGGGGTCACGAAGGGCAGACATATATGGGGCCACGAAGGGCAGCGAGGGGGCCACGAAGGGCTGCAACGGGGCCACGAAGGGCAGCGAACGGGCCACGAGGCGCTGCAACGGGGCCACGAAGGGCAGCGACGGGGCCACGAGGGGCTGCAACGGGGCCACGAAGGGCTGCGACGGGGCCACGAAGGGCTGCAACGGGGCCACGAAGGGCAGCGAGGGGGCCACGAAGGGCTGCAACGGGGCCATGAAAGGCAGCGAGAGGGGCCACGCAAGACTGCATCGCCCCCTGCGCACCCCCTCTGGTGTCCAGAAAATGCGACGCCTGCTAGGCCCTGCGGCACTGGCGCATATACAGCCCGCGCTGTGTGACCACCCCTCTGAGCACTCCGTGCGTTGCCGAGAAAGTCCCACGCCTGCTAGGCCCTTCGACATTGGCGCGTATAGAGCCTGCGCTGAGGGACCACCCCCTGCGCACCCCCTCTGGTGCCGAGAAAC